GGGGTCTATTGTTGCTAGGGTGGATCTTTTGTTACCTGTGTGTTTTTTTGGGGGGGTCCATTGTTGCTGGGAGTCTGTTGGTGTGGGGGGGGATCTATTGTTGCTGGGGGGAAGTCTACTGTTGGCTGCAGGGGATCTATCCTACTGCTTTTCTTTCATATCATTAACAAAATTCCATACAAAATTACTTAGCACCACAAAAATGAAACTTGGTTCCGTATTCTCAAAAAGGGGTGATACTGGGAAGGTGGGTAGAGGGTGGAACCAAGGAAAAGTGTTAGGAGGTGGGAAGGGGGCGGATACAAGGGGTGGCTCAGAAAAGGGGAGTTCCTGCACCTATTCTCTAAGAAAAAAAATCCCTAGCTTCAGTGCTACAACACTCAAATGTGGCACACACAGTCCAAGAATCTCTGCTTTGTTTGGAGCCCAATCACATAGGTACAGTGGGGATCGAAAGTTTGGGCACCCCAGCTAAAAATTTGTATTAATGTGCATAAAGAAGCCAAGGAAAGATGGAAAAATCTCCAAAAGGCATCAAATTACAGATTAGACATTCTTATAATATGTCAACAAAAGTTAGATTTTATTTCCATCATTTACACTTTCAAAATAACAGAAAACAAAAAAAATGGCATCTGCAAAAGTTTGGGAACCCTGCAGAGTTAATATCTTGTACTGCCCCCTTTGGCAAGTATCACAGCTTATAAACGCTTTTTGTAGCCAGCCAAGAGTATTTCAATTCTTGTTTGAGGTATCTTTGCCCATTCTTCCTTACAAAAGTCTTCCAGTTCTTTGAGATTTCTGGGCTGTCTGTCACGCACTGCTCTTTTAAGGTCTATCCATAGATTTTCAATTATGTTGAGGTCAGGAGATTGTGAAGGCCATGGCAAAACCTTCAGTTTACGCCTCTTGATGTAATCCCCCGTGGATTTAGAGGTGTGGAAGCCATCCTCTCTTTAACTTCAGCTTTTTCACAGATGGCATCAAGTTACCATCCAAAATTTTCCTGAAATTTTATTGAATCCATTTTTCCTTCTACTCGTGAGATGTTCCCTGTGCCACTGGCTGCAACACAACCCCAAAGCATGATTGATCCAACCCCATGCTTAACAGTTGGACAGAGGTTCTTTTCATTAAATTCTGTGCCCCTTCTTCTCCAAACGTACCTTTGCTCATTCCGGCCAAAAAGTTCAATTTTAACCTCATCGGTCCACAGAACTTGTTTCCAAAATGCATCAGGCTTGTCTATATGTTCATTTGCAAAGTTCAAACGATGATTTATGTGGTGAGGACGTAGAAGAGGTTTTCTTCTGATGACTCTTCCATGAAGACCATATTTGTACAAGTATCTCTTTATAGTGGAATAGTGTACCACAACTCCAGGGTCTGCCAGATCTTTCTGGAGGGATCGTGCAGTCAAACGTGGGTTTTGAATTGTTTTTCTCACAATCCTGCGAGCTGTTCTGTCTGATATTTTTCTTGGTCTTCCAGATCTTGCTTTAACTTCCACTGTTCCTGATGACTGCCATTTCTTAATTACATTCCGAACAGAGGATATTGACATCTGAAAACGCGCTTTGCTATCTTCTTATAGCCTTCTCCAGCTTTGTGAGCGTCAGCTATTTTCAGTTTCATTTTTCTAGACAACTGCTTAGAAGAACCCATGGTGCTGATTGTTGGGGCAAGGTCAGATGAGTCTGGGCATTTAAAACCTTTGAGATTGACATCACCTGGTCTTCCCAGACGATGATTGAGAACAATCCATGACACTGGCAGGTCTCAGCTTGGCAAAGGGGGCAGTGCATGCTATAAATTCTGCAGGGTGCCCAAACTTTTGCAGACGCCATTTTTTTGTTTTCTGTTATTTTGAAAGTGTAAATGATGGAAATAAAATCTAACTTTTGTTGACATATTATAAGAATGTCTAATCTGTAATTTGATGCCTTTTGGAGATTTTTCCATCTTTCCTTGGCTTCTTTATGCACATTAATACAAATTTTTAGCTGGGGTGCCCAAACTTTCGATCCCCACTGTACTTTGATCTCTGACAAGTTCAAATTAGCCGAGATACTCAAAAAAAATAAATTAAAATAATAAATAAATTGTAGTCATCTGTCTCTTTTACAGCACATTAATTTCACCTAAAGTACAAATGAAAAGAAAGGGGATTTTTTTTTCAATCTCTAACCAGTTCTGCATTCTTCACCCATTGCTGTATCTGGCAGCAGAGCTAGGACAAAGGAGGGGGCGGGGCAGTTAGTAGGTGTCATTGTCCTGTACCAGGGGCGTAGATAAAGGGGGGGGGGGGGGGGGGGGAGTAGGAGTCCAACCCCCCCAGAGCATCACACTAAAATGACCAGTGTCCCTGCTGCCGCATTGCTCAGCCTCAGTGCAATAGAAGCAGACAGACTTGCAGAGTGATCCGTCAGCCATGGCGCTGCAAATAAAGGTTATATAGAGCAGACAGCCCCCCCACAGTGCCCAAGCCTCATTGATTTATTAAGGGGAACTGAGAGGCATGATACTTGCTAGCTCGGGGCACCTACCTCACAGCCCCAATGCTTAATATAGATGCTAGGGATGCACCAAAATTCTGGCCACCGAAACATACAAACAAAATAGCAATGCCGATAGGAAACATTTAGCCGATACAGGGGACTGTGTGTACTGCAGATGGGGGGGGAGGGCGGCTGAGAAAGGCGGGGAGCGGAGCAGTGTATACAGTGACTGGCTGTCACTATATGTCAGTGACAGTTTTTAAATCTAATTACTGACTTTTTTTTTCTTCACTATAGCTCACAGAATTAGCTGTCATTTTCCCCCAAGCCAAAAAGAAAGTTTCCTTTTAGGTCATTTCCTGAGATAAAAAACAATGTAACCTTTAGCTCAGGGGAAAGTGACAGCTAATTGTGTGAGCTATGGTGAAGAAAAAAAAAAGCCGCCAATTGCATTTAAAAACCGGTACTGACCTATAGTGACAGCCAGTGAGGGAGCCTCTCTGTATACACTGCTCCCTCACTGTATACATTGCCCCTCTCCTGCCCCCTCCCCCCTACAAAGAGGACCTGTCACTCATATGCTATCACATAGGAGACTATTGGTCCCCTATGTGATAGCAATGAAATCATAAGTAAAAAAGAAAATCTACATGAAAATATAAAAGAAAAAAAAAAAAATACAAAAAAATAAATAATTGGAACCTCCCCACCCCCCCACATATGCAGACATTTCAGTTTGGTTTTCGGCCATATGCATTCTGCATTTTCGGTATCGGTTTTAACAGCAGAATTTTCATTTCGGTGCACCACTAATAGATGCACACAGATACTCGCAACTGACAGTGCACAGCCAAGGGGACTCTTAGACTCCTCCTAATATGACACAGCCGAGGGGAGACCTGGGAGTCAGAAGTTTTCCTGGGAGACCATTCTAACTTTTTTTTTTTTTTTAAACACTTTATATCCTTAGATGGAGAAGCCAAAAACGTTTGGCCATACTTCTCCTATATGGATCACAGGAGTGCAGTTCGTTCTGGGCTCCTGTGATCTGTTTCAGTCGACATGGCTGATGTCACTCAGCCAGTCCAGGCTCAGGAAAGATGGATGAGCAGAGCAGAGAGCCGGTGACTGTGCCCTCTGTAGACTAAGATTTGATTGCTCCGTTCTCAGTCTTAGAAGCAGTGGGGGATTAGCTGCTGGAGGGAAGATACACAAACAGTGAGTCAGGGGTAGGCAGCCTTGGAGAAGTGGCCATTTACCTAAAACACATGGAAGCTATCAAAAGATCACTAGGTGATGACCTAGCAGGGCCCCATAAAAAAGTAGGGAAGATTTAATGATTTCAGGGAAAAGGAGTAATGCAGAGGTCAGTAGTATGTAATGCAGAGTGCAGGGGCCAATAGTATGTAATGCAGAGTGCAGGGGCCAATAGTATGTAATGCAGAGTGCAGGGGCCAATAGTATGTAATGCAGAGTGCAGGGGCCAATAGTATGTAATGCAGTGTGCAGGGGCCAATAGTATGTAATGCAGAGTGCAGGGTCAATAGTATGTAATGCAGAGTGCAGGGGCCAATAGTATGTAATGCAGAATGCAGGGGCCAATAGTATGTAATGCAAAATGCAGGGGGCCAATAGTATGTAATGCAATAATGTAATGCAGGGCCAATAGTATGTAATGCAGGAGCCAATAGTATGTAATGCAGGAGCCAATAGTATGTAATGCAGAATGAAGGGGCCAATAGTATGTAATAGAGAATGCAGGGCCAGTAGTATCTAATGCATAGTGCAGGGTCCATTTGTATGTAATGCATAGTGCAGGGGCCATTAGTATGTAGGGCAGAGTAAAAGGGCGAGTATTAACAGAGTTCAGTAGCATGTAGCAGAAGTACATATTGCAGAGTTCAGGGGTCAGTAGAGAAAAACATGGAAAGAGAAAAGGAGTCAGGGGTGGTGGTGGCAAAAACATGTTAAAATTCTAGTCCATTGCGCTAATGTGACAGAACCAGATCGTGATATCAGTACTCCACGTGTTGGTTACAGACTTGCGTTTACTGCTTCTTTGTCTCCATGATCTAAGTTGGGCTTCTGTTGTTCCTCCACTTTTGTCATTGAGTGTCCAGAAAGGATGCGGAGAAAAAAGCCATCTTTATCTGCTTCTTTTGAAGCAGGCATAATGCCCATACAGAAGTGCCAGTCATTCACCTTTGGCTGCTGCAAATTGTAAGGGGTGCCTCATCTGGGACGCTGTGGCACACTCGAGGAAAGACAGAGGGCCTGCCAGCTTTTAGACCTGAGCACTGCTGGGTGAATGGGTGAGATGCTGACGCGCTGAGGAGCTGGCGGCACAACAGGGTTGGTCGCGATCCACCTGTCATAATCAACGGGTTACTGATCAGAGCCCGTCTGGTACATTACATTGCACACAATGCAGATATATGCCACCACCCAGCTATTACAACCAACAACTGTTTACACCCATCCATGGAGAGTGTCCACCTTTACCTGTATGTAGCACCATTCAGTTCTGGGTGGACCACAGCCGGCTCCATACTGGCCCAATGTGTCGCTGCAGTTAAGTGATCTTTATTGACACAGTTTTTCAGGCTGTCAGGGATACGACCTGTTAAGATGAGTAAGATGGATTCAGACATTAAAAATGTATATAAAGCTTTTATGAAATTATTTATATATATTTACTTCATTAAGATATATTTGAATTTGGACTTAGAGTGGTTCTAAAGCTCAAGTGGTTTTTTAATGCATTCTTTGCATTAAGGTAAAAAGCCTCCTGTGTGCAGCTCCCCCCCCCCTCCCCTATACTTACCTGAGCCCCATCTCCATCCAGCAACGTGCAGGAGAGGAGCGGCTCTCCTGGGTCTGTCTCTCTCCTCATGGGCTCACACAACAGCGGGAGCCGTTGGCTCCTGCTGCTGTCAATCACAGTGAGCCAATGAGGAGAGAGCAGAGGGCGGGGTCAAGCCACACTCTGTGTGTGATTTGACACACAGATTCGCTCAGAAGCAAGGCTGCTCGAGTACCACCATAACAAGTGACTTTCTATTGGGGGCACTTGGCAGGAAGGAGAAGCCAAGACTGCCGGTGGCAGACCCAAAAAGAAGAGGATCGGGGCTGCTTTGTGCAAAACAATTTCAAAGAGGAGGTAATTATAACATGTTATTTATTCTTTTTTTTACATTTCCCTTTAGAATCATTTTAATCCTGGACTGAAGTACCAACAAATGTGCAATAAATCGAACCACTCATACCTAAAGTCTTAAGGCTTGGGTATGAACACATATTTAGACCACTAGATATTTTTTCTGGCATGCTTTTGGCAAGAAAATGTAGCCACATACAATCTATGTCTCATGAAAAATTCCTTTTTAAAAGGGAGGGTTTCCTTTTTTTCAATATACTGTACATGAACAAAAACAGATTAACTTGAAGTATACTTTTATGGCCTGTTCGCACTATAACAAAAAAAAAAAAAAAAAAAAAGATATAAAAAGCACTTCCCTGTTTGCTTGCAATTACATGCGATGGTGTTGTTGCATGCGTTTTTATGCATCTGTGCATTTTTATGCCAACGAGCATTTTTCCTCTTTTTTTTTTTTTTCAAAAGGTAAGTTTCTTCTGATCTAATTGTTATAGGTGCGTTGTGTTTATGCGCACTTAGGTGCATTCTTGTGCGAAAAAAATGCAAACATGTTGCATTTTAACAAGAACAGCCTGTATTTTTCTTGTGCTTACCTATGGGTTTCCCTTTGCAGCCACAACTGCCAGAAGAATTGTTCGGGATACAATCTTTCTTGGTCTACCTGACCTTGGCTTGGTATCAAGAGATCCCCGAACTTTCCACTTCTTAATAAGTGATTTAACAGTACTGATTGGCATATTCATGGCTTTAGACATCTTGTTATATGTATTTTTCCATCTTTATAAAAGCTCCATTACCTTGTTACGCAGGACTTTTGACAGTTCTTTTCTGATCCCCATGGCTCAGTATCTAGCCTAGTCAGTGCTTCCACGTAAGAGCTAACAAACTCATTGACTATTTATACACGGACACTAATTGCAATTTAAACAGCGACAGATGTGTGGCATTTTAACCCGTGTGTGTCACCTTTTGTGTCTGTACCAAGGCCAAACATTCCAGGGGAGGTAAACTTTTGATCATCAGCCATTTGGGTGATTTCTGTTATCATTATGATTTAAAAAGGAGCCAAACAACTATTTGATAATAAAATAAATTCATATGATCATTATCCTTCAATAAAAGAGCATTTCTTGGCATGATCAGTCATATTTTCAATATCAATGCCAAAATTTCACAATTTCTGCCAGGGGATGTAAACTTTTCAGCACAACTGTACATCTGCTATATGATCATTTAACTGCTTCCGCACCACCCTATAGCAGAAATACTGCTACAGGGCACCACAGACCCCAGAACAGGACACCGATAGGAATGGGCATATACACACGTGACTTTGCATTTCTAGGTAGGGGGCACGCACGTGTCCTACCTGTACCGCCATTGGCGACCCCAGCTATCAATCACTGGGTCCCAGCCGGTGATTCCCAACCGGCACACGGCGATCGCCGAGTGTCACCGAGGCAGAAACCTGTATGTAAACAATACAGATCTCTCCCCTGTCAGCTCCTGCATACTGCTTTGTATGGCTCTGCATAGCAGAGCCATATAAAGCGGTGTGCTTACAGTGTAAAGCACACACACAGTCCCCATAGTAAAACAGCACACAGTTAACCCTTTGATTGCCCCAGATGTTAACCCCTTCCTGCCCAGTATCATTAGTACAGTATCAGCGTTTTTTTTATTGGCACTGATCACTGTATTGGTGTCACTGGGGATGTCACTGAGAGTTAGTTCCCTCCCCCCCCCAGTAACAGAATGCCCACCGCAGTCCCACTGATCGCCACCTAGTAAACAAATATATATACACCACCATTTGTGAACGCTATAACTTTCACGTAAACCAATTTACATGTATTGGGATTTTTTTTTTTTTTTTTTAGCAAAGACATGTAGCAGAATACATTTTGACCTACATTTATGACGAAAATTTGATTTAAATTTTTTTACTGGACATGTTTAATAGCAAAAAGTAAAAAATATATATATTTTTTTTCAAAATTGTCGGGCTTTTTTTGTTTAAAAACACACAAATATTAAAAAAAGCAGAGATGATCAAATACCACCGAAAGAAAGCTTTATTTGTGGTGGAAAAAAAAGGACGTAAATAACTTCATTTGGGTGCAGAGTTACATGACCGCGCAATTGTCAGCTAAAGTAACGCAGTGCTGTATCGCAAAAAATGGCCTGGTCAGGAAGGGGGGTAAATCCTCTGGAGGGCAAGTGGTAATGTTCATAAAGCAATTCTAGGGTGAACTTGCACTTTAAATGCATAAAATGACAACCTAGAAACCTATCCCTTTTCTTTTACTTGTTAATTTGTGGTAAGGTTTTACATTTTTTTTTGTACATCAATAAGGAACAAATGTAATGCTAGGAATGCATTAGGGTAGGGTTTAATGGCTCTGTAATCTATATTTCATGAAATAGTTTACTATATCTTTCTGTCTCCTTGTAACGTCCTCTGTGAGCTCCCAGAACTCTAATTCCCCCCCCCCCCTCCCCCAATTCCGTTTGTTTGATAGCAACAGTGCGCACATTAGTTGCGGTCATGTGCATTGCTTTATTCACACTACAAATCCCGCAGTCCATCTCGGGAGCACACAGGGTAGCTACATTCCTACATACAGCGAGAATGATAGAAGCCGCCCTCTAACAGGAAGTCAGATTGCAGCAGCAAAAAAAAGAAAAAACTGGAATTTGAAGTCAGAGCAATAGAATTGAGTGAGTAAAGAATACATACTTGAATCTGGCTCTGGCGGGACAGCCTATTCCCACTGGGCATATCACCCTATATACTCCCTTATGGTTTAACCATTAGCCGCCCGGCCAATAGCAGTTTGGCGTCCGGAAAAATGCTGTAGATTTCCGGGTGGATGCCATATGGCGTACTCCCGGGCATGCACAGTTTGCACGCTTGCAGAGCCGCGCAGCGAAGCGATCTGTCACCAGCCGTGTACCTCGGACACGGCCGATGACAGATCTGAGTACCAGCCCCCGTTGCCGGTACCATGTGACCTGCTGTGACCAATCACAGCAGGTCACATGACAGTTGTATACAATGGATGGCTTCATTCATGCCATCCATTGTATACTAGTGTCTAGCTGTGAATGGTCACAGCGATTATATGCACAGGTTATGTGATTAGCCGTGGCCAAATCACAGCTAAGCACACAAAAAAAAAACAAAAAAAAAAAACCCTGAATGAATCAATGTCATTCAGGTAAATGCTTGCTTATAGCAAAGTAATTCTTTGCTATAAGCAAATTGTGTAAAAAAACAAACAAAAAATACTGATCACTTCCCCAAAGTAGTACAATGTCACTATGGTAACATTGTACTACTTTGGTCATAGTGAAATATGAAAAAAAAAAAAAAAAAAATCTTAAAAAAAAGAACAAAAAATGTAATAGAAAATTAAAAAAAATAAATAAATAAATATATATATATATATATATATATATATATATATATATATATATATATATATTATTATAATACAGTATTTATAAAGCTCCAATAGTTCGCTCAGCGCTGTACATTACAAAGGGGGACAGAACAATACCAATACAATGTGATACACGAGGGGTTCGAGGGCCCTGCTCTTTCGAGCTATATATATATAATTTTTTTTTTTTTTTTTCATACTGTCACCAGTCAGTGTCCCTGATCACCACCATGCCAGTTATAGGTAAAAAAAAAAAAAAAAAAAAAAAGTGAAAATAATTTTTTTTTAATTTTTTCATTTTCCGAAAAATGACAAAAAAAAAATACAACTTCAAAAAACACACCATTCCTCTTATGAAGTATGTGGGACTGTCTAATCTGCAAAAAGGGGTCATTTGGGGGATATCTGTACTGTTCTGACATTCTTGGACCTCAAGAAATTAGATTGGCTGTCAGTACTTCAGGATTGATCAATATTCAGATCTATACCATAGTTTGTGAACTCTATAACTTTCCTACAAACTAAATAATACATCCTAATTTGGGTTATTTTCACCAAAGACATGTAGTAGAACACATTTTGGCCTAAATTTATGAAGAACAATTATTTATTTGCAAACAGAAACAAAGAAAAAACGTGTTTTTTTAAAATATTTTCGGTCTTTTTTTTGTTAATTTAGCAAAAAGTAAAAACCCTGGAGGTGATTAATTACCACCAAAAGAAAGCTCTAGTTGTGTGAAGAAAATAACATTTTAGTTTGGGTACAATGTTGTATGACCGCACAATTGTCATTCAAAGTGTGAGAGCGCTAAAACCTGAAAAATGGCCTGGGCAGGAAGGGGGTAAAAGTGCCCGGTATGGAAATGGTTAACCGTGGGTTGCCAGAGTTTATTTTGATACCTAATCCACATGTCTGGGCCGTGAGCGGCATCACATACCTTGATCAGATTTGTACAGGGGGAGGGCTGTGGACCTTCATGGGGTTGTCCCAAGAAATGTAAAAAAAAAATAAAAAAAAAAAAAAAAAAAAGTGTGGGGTATTTGGGTGAGCTCTCCATCCACCAAAGCAGACCCCCAGGGCTCCTGTTTGACTTGCATTGGTTTATGGTGACCCTTGTATTGGTATTAAATTGCTATGCTAAATAGAAATAGTTTAGGGGTGCCTCTCCTATTCTTTCCTTTTAGGATCCTGGGTTCTTTTCCTGATGATAATTTGACTAATCCTACAAGATGGTTGAGCGTACTTTTGTAGTTGGTTGTTGGATGTGTTTTAGTTTGTGATTTGTTTATGTACAGTACCAAGCCTGGGAATTTCAATAGGCTGTTTCGTATTTTAACCTTAAAATGGAATAAAAACGAAACATACTTGAATCGAGTTTTTTACATAAACCAGAGTTGTCACTTTAACTTCTAGTTTCTGGATGTGGTCAGGTCACAAAACCAAGACATGCACTCCTCTAAAGCCTATTATAATAAGCAGTGGAAACCCAATACAAGGCGGCAGTCGTTCTTACTTGTAATGGCTCTGCGGATCTCCCTTGCTGCCTCTTCTCTCATCTCTATGGAGGCCTGCTCGCTGTACCAGGCCGCATGTGGTGTGCAGATGAGGTTAGGTGCATCTTTTAATGGACCTTGAGAAAAACTGTAAGAAGTAAGAGTTGCCATAAGAAGACAGAAAATACTGAGGAATTTCAATAAGTTCCAAAACTTATCAAATACAGAAACCACATTAGGACAAAGAGGGCCTGTCAGCTTTGTCCTGGACATGATGCTGCAATCAAAGTAGAAAATGTCCTATTATAAGGTTGAGAGAACCTTCGCAGGCTACAGTGAGAGCATATTTATAGACTATGCCAAAAGCCACCAAGTAAAATATTGAAGAAACACAGGAAAAAAAAAACACCACTTCAAGATACAACAGCATACACAAAGTTTACAAACGTTATAATTATTTTTATCAATTTACAAAAATGCGCCATAAGTGAGCAGAAGAAAAATCTAAAATCAATATTTGGTGCGACTACTTTTTGGCTTCAAACCAGCATCAGTTCTTACACTTGCATACTTTGTACACTTGTACAAAATCAGGGATTTTGTAGGATTAGAGTCAGGTTTATGATTAATAAATTCTACCTAGCAGGAGTTAATGAACATCAATTTCATGTAGGCTGAAACACATTAACTGAAACAGAAACCGCTGTATAGGAGGCTTGAAACTGGGAAAAGAATAGTCAGGACCCTACTACTAAAGTGAGGTTGTGGAAGACCGTTTCATGTCACAGGTCATACAAAATGGCAAGAATGAGCACAGAAAAAAGACACAAGGAAGTTATACTGCACCAGCAAGGTCTCTCTCAGGCAAAGATTTCAAAGCAGACTGGGGTTTTAAGATGTGTTAAAGCTCTTTTGAAGAAGCACAAAGAAAAACGGGCAATGCGGAGGTCTGTAGACGCACTGGTCAGCCTAGGAGACTTAATGCAGAAGATGAAAGACATCCTGTTTACGTCCCTTCTAAATCAGAAGTTGTCCAGCAGTGCACGAGACTGGCAAACTGACAGAAACCAGTGGAACCAAAAAGGTACACCCACCTACTGTCTGGTGAAACCTGGCCAGAAGTGGTCTTCATAGAAGAATTGTGACCAAAAAGCCATACCTCTGATGTGAAAACAAGGCTAAGCGACTCAACTGTGCACGAAAACATAAGAACTAGAGAGGAAAAAAAAGTGGAAACAGGTGCTCTGGACTGAGGAGTCAAAATTTGAAATATTTGGCTGTAGCAGGAGGCAGTTCGTTTGTGGAAGTGCTGGAAAGCGGTACAATAATGAGTGCCTGCAGGCAACAGTGAAGCATGGTGGAGGTTCCTTGCAAGTTTTGAGCTGCATTTCCGCAAACAGAGTTGGAGATTTGATGTCCCCAATGCTGGGAAATACAGGTAGATACTTTTCCACCATGCCATACTATCAGTGAGGCATATGACTGGGGTCATTGTCCTACTGCAGAATAAATTTAGAGCCAAACATGCAGCCAATATCATTAATAACCATCTTCAGCATAAAGAAGAACAAGGCGTTCTGGAAGTGATGCTTGGCCCCCACAGAGTCTGTCTAGAGCCAAATAGAGTGTCTAGGATTACATGAAGAGACAGAAGGATTTGAGGCAGCCAACATCCCCAGAAGATCTGTGGTTAGTTTGAACAACCTACCTGCCAAGTCCCTTCAAAAACTGTGTGCAAGTGAACCTAGTAGAATTGATGCTGTTTTGAAGGGAAAGGGTGGTCATAACAAATATTGATTTTATTTGGATTCCTCTTCTGTTTATTTACTTTCCATTTTGTAAATTATAAAAATAAACTGTTAACACTTCTATTTCTGAAAGCATTCTTCATTTACAGCATTTTTTCACACCTGTCTAAAACTTTTGCACAGTAGTATATATCAGTGCATATAGATGCCCGATAGTCCACAGAAATCTCGATTGTATGGTCTTGTTTGAAAATTCAGACATTAACCAATATATGTAAAACAGAACAAATGCATTTTTCTATATTGTACTACTGTTATATGGTGATGGTGTGAACCTCCTGCGCTCCCAAGTGTTTTTTGAAACTAAAAAATAATAAATAAAATAAATGTGTGTATAAATTCCAAAGGTAGCTGCTAGCATTAAATCATATACCAGTGATTAAGTGAAATAAAAGTAATAAGGAATGCAGCGCTACATTCAAATTATAAAATTATGTGAATGTGGGATCCCAAAATATCAAATAAGTAAAAATAGATAATATGACGGTGTTAACAATACATATCAATAAGTGCTCATTAATAATATCATCAACACAAATAAAGTGAATAGCTCTAAACATGTGAAAAAACATATGAAGAAACCATATCCTTATATATATGCATAAAACAAAATTACACATATATATGATGTAATCACACGTGCCTGTTGTGAAGTGAAATAACCATAATATTGGTACAAACGAAAATATATCTCAAAGTCCAAAAAATATTATTGGTGACAAAACAGTAAACGGTGCTTCCAAATAATACTATTAGTGACCATAAGTGAAACTCGTGCAGATTTCTGGGTGTGTACAAATCTGAGAATCCAACCACCATCTGGATTAGCCTCTCACCTCATCCCTTCGACCCTTGCGGATCAAAGAGCAGTAGTGGATCCCTCTCACGGATCCTCCAAGCACAAAAAACACTACAAAGGCAGTTTTCTCAGAATATAGTATTCACACTCAGGCTCTTCTCCAGGAAATGTTGTAGTATCAATCTCTCAAATGAGACAAAGGAATCCTCCCATAGTGTAGTATATTTAATTATACCATAGGAACAGATAACATTCTTGCATTAAAACTTACGTAGCAGCCAGTCCTAACTAAAACCTCATGCTTTCAGATGAGGATATATCTGTTTGGGTGTACAGCTGGATGCACAGGTGTACCAAGATGGCCGCCACGCCGGAAATACGTCACCACGTCAAGCCGACGCGTTGCGTCACAGTGTCATGTGACTTCATCAGGCCGATGAAGCTCTTTGATCCGATGATGCTCTTTGATCCGCAAGGGTAGAAGGGATGAGGTGAGAGGCTAATCCAGATGGTGGTTGGATTCTCAGATTTGTACACACCCAGAAATCTGCACGAGTTTCACTTATGGTCACTAATAGTATTATTTGGAAGCACCGTTTACTGTTTTGTCACCAATAATATTTTTTGGACTTTGAGATATATTTTCGTTTGTACCAATATTATGGTTATTTCACTTCACAACAGGCACGTGTGATTACATCATATATATGTGTAATTTTGTTTTATGCATATATATAAGGATATGGTTTCTTCATATGTTTTTTCACATGTTTTGAGCTATTCACTTTTTTGTGTTGATGATATTATTAATGAGCACTTATTGATATGTATTGTTAACACCGTCATATTATCTATTTTTACTTATTTGATATTTTGGGATCCCACATTCACATAATTTTATAATTTGAATGTAGCGCTGCATTCCTTATTACTACTGTTATATGCTTTTTTATAGCAAAGTATCTATAACCAAAACTTTTTTTTTTTTTTTTTTTTTTTAAAGACAACAGAGTAGTTAAACTGCCAGTAGTTAAACATCCCCCTTAGACCATAGTCAAAACCGATTTCCCCATTAGAGGATTTCTCCACACCACCTGTCCCTGTGATAACATTTCGGATTTCCCCTGTCTTGGTGGCAATATTCACTAGGACAAACAGAAGGGTGAATCTCTGCAATGGGTAGACAGACAGCACAGTACACCGATGTGACCATACACTATTACAATTCACTTATGAAACCTGACCCCAGCATGCACAGATATGAAAATCAACCCAATGCACCAATTAGAAATGACCCAGGGCCGTGCACCAAGGTGAACGGAGTTCAGGGCCGTGCACCAAGGTGAACGGAGTTCAGGGCCGTGCACCAAGGAGAAGAGACCCCAGAACAGGACACCGATAGGAATGGGCACAATGGACTTGGAAATGGAAAGAGCTCCTACTGGTATTACAACATACATTATATTGCCAAAAGTATTGGGACGCCTGCCTTTACACGCACATGAAATTTAATGGCATCCCATTCTTAGTCGGTATGTTTCAATATTTGAGATGGCCCACCCTTTGCAGCTATAACAGCTTCAACTCTTCTGGGAAGGCCGTCCACAACATTTAGAAGTGTGTCTATGGGAATATTTGACCATTCTTCCAGAAGTGCATTTGTGAGGTCAGGCACGGATGTCGGATGAGAAGGCCTGGCTCCTAGTCTCCGCTGTAATTCATCCCAAAGGTGTTCTATTGGGTTGAGGTCAGGACTCTGTGCAGGCCAGTCAAGTTCCTCCACCCCAAACTCGCTCATCCATGTGTTTATGGACCTTGCTTTGTGCACTGGTGTGCAGTCATGTTGGAAAAGGAAGAGGCCATCCCCAAACTGTTCCCACAAAGTTGGGAGCATGAAATTATCCAAAATGTCTTTGTATGCCGACGCCTTAAAAGTTCACTTCACTGGAACTAAGGGGCCAACCCCAACCCCTGAAAAACAACCCCACACCATAATCCCCCCTCCACCAAACTTTACACTTGGCACAGTGCAGTCAGGCAAGTACTGTTCTCCTGGCAACTGCCAAACCCAGACATGTCCATAGGATTGCCAGACAGAGAAGCACGATTCGTCACTCCAGAGAACACGTCTCCACTGCTCTAGAGTCCAGTGGCGGGGTGTTTTACACCACTGCATCCAATGCTGAGAGCCACCCATTCTTTCACAAATGTTTGTAGAAGCAGTCTGCATGCCTAGGTGCTTGATTGCATACACTTGAGGCCATGGAGGTGATGGGAACACCTGAATCCAATGATTTGGAAGGGTGTCCCAATACTTTTGGCAATACAGTGCATCCGAAGTAGCAAGGCCTTAAACTCCCATGGATTTCTACTGGTTAAATCAGTCACATTCGTATGTATAAAAAGGTAAAGACTGAATCCCCCACCTTATTTAGCTGGATATGCATATGTGTAACAGAGAATTCTTACAACGCACACAGGGATAACAAGTCTGCAGCTACCCCTACTGCTTGGATGGCATGTGATAGCTGTGCCTCTCCTCCTACATACTGACACACAGGAAAAATCTTCATAGACTAAAAAGGCATGAGATTTGCAAAGTCGAATGATGTGACATGCTGGTAACACAATCCTTTTAACAAGATGGTTCCACACAGCCTAGCTTTGGAGGTGTCAGTTATGTACAGATGACAGACACTTCAGACTTTCCCGTTTGTCAGTTCTTACGGGCTGCTTCTCTCATATTGGACACAAGATGGCGCCCACTGAGAACTACTGGATGCTCAGGAATCGCTCACTACTGGAATATTACTGAAAGGCCAAACAGCATTTTAGAATGAGCAATATTCCACAGGAAAAAAATCACTTTCACAGGTCAAAAAGGGTTGCCAAACGGACTAGGTTTCCATGGGTAACAACACGATTTTGACCTAACTAAATGGAGTAAAGTTTAAAGCGACCACTTTACAGTGTATAGGGGGGGATAAGGGGGGAGGGGTTATGCCTAAATGTAAAAAAGAATGCTTCTTGGCCATACTTCTCTTCTGGGTCACAGGAATGCACTTACATGTATCCTCCAGTGACCCAGAATCAGTTGACAGTGGGCTAAAGCCTGCTGTCGGCTGATGTCACAGTGCCTCTCCAGACACTGGAGGGATCCCAACCATATTGTTGAGATCCACCCAGATGCCTCATCGGTAACAAGCTCCAGCTCTCAGCATGCGGGTAAGAACCAAAGTTAGCTGCACCAGTCCTCTCTCTAGTCAGGCTCTCCAGTGAGCGTTGGATGAGCAGTGCAGAGAGCAGTGACTGACAGCCACTGCTGTCTTCTCCAAGAAGACAGAGAACTGAGCAATCAGCAGTCATGTGATCACTCAGTTCTCTGTCTTAGAGTGTGGGGGGGGATGGAGAGTGGAGGGGAACAGCTGCAACATCAAAGCAATGCCACAGCCTATGTATGTTTGGTTTATTTGCTTCAGTCAGCAGTTTATACCACCTCAGGTCTGAGGCTACCCCATCCCAGTAGTTGCTCTGCTTCTCACAAGGTCACCGACTTTTAATCGTCCAAGCTGGGCTACAAAGTCGAGATGCTTTCCCAGCTTCAGCATACTCAGGGCAATGTGGTTTAAAAAAAAAAAAAAAACATCAATTGGCAGGGCAACAGAGGCATTCCAATGAGCAGTGGGGTGAAAGAAAACAATCAGTTGGGGGCTGGTGGACAGAGACCTTGTTAAAAAAAACAAAAAAACATTTGGTTTTCTCTTAGCTCTGCAGTAAGAAATGAGCAAACAAACACCGCTGAGCAGAGAGCCGTGACCGCCAGTCTCCATCTCTCTGCCCCTCCAGCACTCACTGAAGCGCTGGGCTGTGGAGGATGTGGGAGGGACTGGCTCAGGCCCTCGGTGTAATGCTGAGCAGCTTCAGCCTGCTGTCGGCTGAAAACTGGCCACAGGAGTGCAGAATTTTTTTTAATTACTTTGGGAACGGACAACGTGGAAGATTTCACCATTTGGTATAAAATGTTCTAACAGTCTCAGGCACATAGCCTTGCCCAGCCTCATGAAGCCCAGTCCCATTCACCATTGAGGTGGGCAACAGAAGCAGAAAGCACTCACGTTGTAATATACGCAGAGTAGAGGAGTATGAACTGTGCTCTGAGACCCGAATTGTTACTACATGTATGAGCAATCCAGAACAAGATTTACTCCCCCAAGTAATAATATTAAAATACGGTCCAAGAAGAAAGATTCTTAATCCCAATAATTTCATTTTGAGAGGGTTGGTGGGGTCAAATCGATGCTCATTTTTGACAGTAGTGAAGAGAAAATTCAATGAAGCAGGATAAACATTTTGAAAAGCTTTTGAACACCAACTCTTCATATGGCACTTAAAATAAGGTCCAAAATGTTATTACCTTCTCATGCTTTCATGAGCTCACAAACATTTTACTACCAATAGATATACTTTGATGCTTCATTCCAGATCTTTACCTCTAAGGTTGGAAATCAAAAGGCGTAACTCTACTCTCTGAACTCTATGCTAATATTTTTGAATCCTTTGAGTCCTTCTGTGTCAATTCAACTTAATGGTCTCCAGCTATTTTCTCTATGTGAGGATACACCACTATCTCCACAACTATCCAATTCTTTTATATATTGAAGTTAACAACCCCGATCTCGGTTTTCACCTATCATGCAATCTGAGAGCAATCTCTATGTTCTACAACTCAATTAATGGAAATACACTGGGGTTTATTTACTAAAGCGGGTTCACTTCAGAATATCATGCACTTCTGCATGGAAACCAATCAGCTTCCAGGTTATATTGCTAAAGCTTAACTGAACAAGCTGAGGTTAGAAGCTGATTGGCTACCATGCACAGGTGCACAAGATTCTGAGTGAACCAACCTTAGTAAATCCCCCACTGTGTCTTAAAAATCTGCTAGTATGTGCAAATGAGATTCAGAGTTAGAGGAGTCTTTCTGATATCTCGTGGAAAAGGGCACTCTCATCCACCCTATAACCCTTGGTTCACACCTAAGCGTTTTCTGCAGCGTTTTGCAGAAACGCAGTACAGCCCATTTAACATAATTTCCTATGGGACATGTTCACATCCGAGCGTTTCACCCGGTGAGATTTTTGGAAAGGGTCAGGAACTTTTTTTGAATACAAAAAGTTGCGTTTTTGGTTCTACAGACTTCAATGGAAATGCTGCAGAAAAGCATGTAATGGAGTTTTTGCCACATTTTGGTTGCATTTTGGACATGTTTTTGATGCATTTTAAATCTGCCTAGCAACAAGAGAAATAAAAAAATAAAAAAAACTGCAAAATGCTTCAAAAACACGGCAAAAAAGCAAGTGCAAAAACACAATACAGAAACGCATCAAACGCAACCTGCATAGGTGTGAACCTAGACTAAGGCTTCATGATGCACAATTGATTGGGAACTGCATCAAAAAGGTAATGCATTGTTGATACCCAATTCTTTTTAGGCTCTTTAAAGGAAAAGTTCACTTTTAGGAACATGTTACTTGTTCCACCCGCTATTAGGGTGGAACATGTAACATGTTCCCAATGCTGCAGCCGCCACCCCCGCTGCCCCCCTCCGATAGAATTGCAGGGAGAAGTTCCCTGTACTATCTGTCTTATTTGAAAACTGCCGCCCACCCACATGACCACGTCATTCATTCACAGACTTCCGTGAATTAATGAACTGCAAGTCCCGACAGCCTTAGAGGCTGTCAGCTTGTAGATTTCAATGAACTGCCATTGTGCTGTGGAGTACCGTGGTAGTTCATTGATTCTTCCTGTCAGTATATCTGCTTGCCTGTACATCCCGCATGGGCAAGCAGATATACGGACAGATCTGCAGGAGACCTGCATGGCATCAGCGTTCTGCTGATCACTGGTGCAATGCTTTACAGGCTCCAGCAGACAAAATAAATGCACTTTTTTTTTTTAGCTGCTAAAAAAATGTGCATTTATTATTTATGGGCAAAAGTTGACCTTATCCTTTAAAAACTTTACCCCACTTGGTCTCCAGAATGTTGGAGACAATGAGGAGATATGGAATCTTTATATAAAGCCCTTGTGAAAGTATAACTCATATTGGAACAAAAAAAATCTTCAGCATGGCTTTCGATATTGTAGAAACACACATACTGATTGATCACATCCTTGCATTACTAACTTGGGCATTGATCGGTTCCCCACCAACTTTAAAGTAGTGCTTACCCATCTGTTCCTGGCAGCTAAAACTAGTTCTTGTTAGCTTGTGGACCTCACCCACATCTCCTAATCTGGTAAACACCATCAAAACCTTGAATTACCAGTGCTAAATGGAAAAACGTATCTCCAAATGTATTCTCAGTCAAGCTTAATAATAATTGGTCCATATAGTTAAACAATGCCAACTATATTGACGCATAGTGTAGGTTATTGATAACGGTTTACACAGGTTGACTGGTTCCCTCTGTCATTAATGTGATTCCCATGCCGGACTGGTTGATTGCTCCCACTATATCCCCATCTTCCCCTTACCTTACTTTCCCTCCCAGTTCTTTACCCCCTCTTCCTTTTCTTAAAGGAGAAGTTAGATTTTGTAGTTGGTACAACATGAGCTGAACCTCAAATTTTTGAGATCTGCTTTTTCCTGTACAATGACTATGCTCACATCTGTGGTGCACATACTCAATTGTATTAGTTTGTATTCTCATGTGACCTCTCCATACTACCTTATATTGTTCAATTTTTCTAATAAAAAAATATTTCAAAGTAATGGCTTTTGAACCATACTAGTTGACTCAATGGTAAGAAAAAAAAAATGTTCTGATGTAGGATTTTAATAAGAGCAAACTAAAATCTAACCATGTATGACCAACTCAAGAGACAACTTGAACAGTATGAGAGGACTTCATGCATAATGTACAACTGCAAATTACCTGAAAGGTTCCGACTCATGTACGTCTAATGCTGCTCCCCGTATCCTCCCTTCCTTCAATGCTTGTGCGAGTGCCTTCTCGTCCACCAAACCGCCTCGGGCTGTGTTTACCAGGAACGCTCCCTGCCTCATCTGGAATGGGACATTAGAGACATCAGACAAAATCCAAAACCTGCTTTAAGTTTCAGTGCTAAATTATAAGCCCTGGATTAGTGCTTAAATACTTTAAATAATATACATGGTTTACCAGAGTCTCTCTTCTCTGCAGCTCTGGGCTTGCTGTTGTGTTTCTTCCCATCAGAACAATGTACAGAAAGGCAGCTGGTGGGCATACTGTAATTCACCCTCTTGAAACTTGATCTAAACTGGTGTGGGCAAATTAATACAGAATTCAGTCAATCCAATCTAGAAGCTAGTAAGTAACTTTAAAGGAAACCGGTCATAAAAGTAATATGTAGGCTGCCATTGCTGAACTCTTCTGAAAATGCTAATCACCTGGCTAGGATGCTGACACTTCAGCTTAAACATTGAAAGTCACTGACCTAGGAACAAGAACAGCTACAAGGCACTACGGGGGTAATCAATCAAAACTGGAGCAGCCATGTATGGCAACCAATCAGCTTATATCTTCAGCTTATTCAGTTAAGCTTTAAAAATTAAAAATAGAAGCCGATTGGTTGCCATACTCAACTGCTCCAGATTCGGTCTGCTCCAGTTTTGATAAAATTTCCCCCTGTGAATTGAATTTCATTTGTTGCATATTTGTTCTGGGTCAGTGACTCAAATCCACTGCAGCCAGACTTAGCCAGGCAACTCGCATTTTGAAAGAAAGGCCAGCATTGACCCCCTCCATATATTTGTCATGACAGTTGAACTTTAAGATGCAAAAAGGGACATGTCCTTCCACGGACAATAGGATATGCAAGCATGTGTCTCAGACAGTCCCTGCATGAACACAAACACTTGTGTGACTGTAGTTCAGGAATTAGAAATTGTAACAATTAGAAACTGAAGAGAACAGAATATATACACTGCAGAAACTAAACAAAAGGTCCCAGACCTTCCTGGCAAAGCAGAGGTTCGCAAACAAGGAGTACTGTTGTACAGTAGGTTGGCTTACACCGAGGGCCTGGCACTACGAGGGCCTGGCACTGGCACTACGAGGGTTACACCGAGGGCCTGAAACACCCGAGGGCCTGAAACTACGAGGGTTACACCGAGGGCCTGAAACTACGAGGGTTACACCGAGGGCCTGAAACTACGAGGGTTACACCGAGGGCCTGAAACTACGAGGGTTACACCGAGGGCCTGAAACTACGAGGGTTACACCGAGGGCCTGAAACTACGAGGGTTACACCGAGGGCCTGTAACTACGAGGGTTACACCGAGGGCCTGTAACTACGAGGGTTACACCGAGGGCCTGTAACTACGAGGGTTACACCGAGGGCCTGAAACTACGAGGGTTACACCGAGGGCCTGAAACTACGAGAGGGTGTACACCACCGAGGGCCTGTAACTATGAGAGTTATTTTAACTATGAGAGTTATTTATTTATTATTTTATTTCATGTACTTATATAGAGCTGTCAATTTACACAGTGCTTTTACACATATATATTGAACATTCGCATCAGTCCCTAACCCTGGCTAAGTTAGGGACCTTAGATTGTACAATCTAAGGTCCCTAACTTACATTCATATATTAGGGACAATTTAGACAGGATCTAATTAACCTACCAGCATGTCTTTGGAGTGTAGGAGGAAACCGAAGCACCCGGAGGAAACCCACGCAAGCACAGGGAGAACATGCAAACTTCATGCAGGAGGCGCCACGGTCGGGAATCAAACCCATGACCCATTTACTGCAAGGCAGACGTGCTAACCACTAAGCCACTCGGGTTACAGCGAGGTCCTGCAACAAGGGTTACAACAAGGGCTTGTAACTACAAGGGTTACACCGAGAGCTACCGCTACAAGGGTTACAACAAGGGCTACCGCTACAAGGGTTACAACAAGGGCTACCGCTACAAGGGTTACAACAAGGGCTACCGCTACGAGGCTTACATTGAGGGCTACCGCTACGAGGGTTACACGGAGGGCTACCGCTACAACAAGGGTTACACGAAGGGCTACCGCTACAACAAGGGTTACACGAAGGGCTACCGCTACAACAAGGGTTACACGAAGGGCTACCGCTACAACAAGGGTTACACGGAGGGCTACCGCTACAACAAGGGTTACACGGAGGGCTACCGCTACAACAAGGGTTACACGGAGGGCTACCGCTACAACAAGGGTTACACGGAGGGCTACCGCTACAACAAGGGTTACACGGAGGGCTACCGCTACAACAAGGGTTACACGGAGGGCTACCGCTACAACAAGGGTTACACGGAGGGCTACCGCTACAACAAGGGTTACACGGAGGGCTACCGCTACAACAAGGGTTACACGGAGGGCTACCGCTACAACAAGGGTTACACGGAGGGCTACCGCTACAACAAGGGTTACACGGAGGGCTACCGCTACAACAAGGGTTACACGGAGGGCTACCGCTACAACAAGGGTTACACGGAGGGCTACCGCTACAACAAGGGTTACACGAAGGGCTACCGCTACAACAAGGGTTACACGGAGGGCTACCGCTACAACAAGGGTTACACGGAGGGCTACCGCTACTACAGGGGTTACACGAAGGGCTACCGCTACTACAGGGGTTACACGAAGGGCTACCGCTACTACAGGGGTTACACGAAGGGCTACCGCTACTACAGGGGTTACACGAAGGGCTACCGCTACTACAGGGGTTACACGAAGGGCTACCGCTACTACAGGGGTTACACGAAGGGCTACCGCTACAGGGGTTACACGAAGGGCTACCGCTACAGGGGTTACACGAAGGGCTACCGCTACAGGGGTTACACGAAGGGCTACCGCTACAGGGGTTACACGAAGGGCTACCGCTACAGGGGTTACACGAAGGGCTACCGCTACAGGGGTTACACGGAGGGCTATTAGTATGAGGGTTACACAGAGGGTTACATGATGGGCTCCTACTACATGGAGGGCTACTACTACAAGGGAAAGGTTAGTTTAGGTGCTACAGGAATCAGGGTCTATTTGTAAAGCAGACAATATGACTTTAAACATTCTCTGGTGGAGAATTAATTATCCATCAATCACTCCCACTGAATGTCAAAATCTCTGCCTTATAAATAGACCCCTTAGTGTCAGGTTAACACAGAGGGCTAGTGTTGGGGTAAAGCACTGTTCTCTTAGCGGAGGGCTCTAGTTCTGTATTAATGGAAACATTTATTATATTATAAGGAGAACATAAAAAACTCAGCTCCCAGCACAGGCACCGATTTTTAGTGCACATTCTCAGGATGCACCCACCATATATATCGCACATACAATTATCAGTAAGGTGTGGGGTTTTTTTTGTTTCCTAGAAAACAGTGCAATAGAATATACAGTATAAAGCAAACACACCGCTATTCTTTGGCCAAGTTTAGACTTGCATCCAAATATCTGCACTTCTAAAAAGTGATCCGCGATGGGATGCCTCCTCACCACCTGTGTTAACTCTGTAATTACTACACTAATGACTTCGGAGTTTCCCCATTCCTATTCACTTGAATGCAACAGGAGGTATCATTTTTGCCATAGGCAAGAAGGAAAAGCATTGTGGCATTCAAACATCCCAGTTTGTTGCCTTTGCAGCTCAAACATGCATTTTTAATGCCCCCCAACTGCAAGTCTACACAAGCCCTTACAGTTTATGAGTGCATTGTGAGCGGGTATTTTGTTTTATTTTTAATAAACGTCCACTTCAAAGAACACTGCAGTGAGCACTAATTTATAGTGGAACTAAACCCTCCGATCCTTTTCAGCCAAGGAAGCTGCCATAGTAGGCTCTCTTTGATCTGCATTGTGCTGCACATGTGATCAGTTATGACATCAGACATTTGATGGGTTTGACAGTTTGGTAGTGAGCACAAGGAAATGTGACATTTATCATTCCCAGCACGCAGGGATTGGAACTTTTTTTGAAACCATTACATCAGTAGGTTTAGTTTTGCTTTAGGCCTTGTTCACTCCATACGTGCAGAAAAGCTGATGGAAACAGACACACAGATTTCTCTTGCAGAGAATTTTGTTTATGTCAGTTTTCATGTGACCTTCAGTGAGTTTTATACACATTGCAGATTCCCGTGCAGAAAAAATACATACGATACCAGTGTGGTGTTGTGAATAGGACACAGAGAACAATTGGGTTTTTGTGCCCTTGCAGAACGCGTGCAGAAAAACTGCCGTTCCTGCACACGGTATGAACAAGACCTCCATCTAACCCGTGTGCGTAGAACGGCCAACAGAAAAAACACAACCCTGTCTGTAAAACAACATGTTGCGTTTGCATTGCTGTATTTGTCATGTGTAGGGCAGCTCATTAAAATGAATGGGCAGCACTATGCGCAAAGCAAGACAACATCTTGAAAAATGTGCAACGTATGGTAGTATAAAATGGGGACATAAGGACCCACTTTAACCATTTGCCCTATCCTTTTTCCCCGCACAAATGGAGCTTTCATTTGGCGGTATTTGATCGCCTCTACGTTTTTTATTTTTTGTGCTATAAACAAAGATAGACCAACAATTTTGAAAGAAAAAAAAAATTTTTTTTTTGACTTTTCGCTATAAAACATAGCCAGTATAAAAAACTGTAAAAAAAAAAAAAAAAAAATCAAATTTAGTCATAAATTTAGGCCCAAATGTATTCTGCGACATGTCTGCTAAAAAAAAAAAAAAAAAAAATCCCAATACGTGTAAATTGATTGGTTTACGTGAAAAATATAGCATCTAAAAATGGCGGCGATCAGCGACTTATAGCAGGACTACGGCGGGCATTCTGATCTGCTATGCAGAGCAATACAAGCAGCATGCTGGTGCTGACAGGGGGGAGAGATCTGTATTGTTTACATACAGACCTCTCCTCTGTCAGTGTTCCTTGGGCGATCGCCGAGGAATCTCAGTCCGGGACCTAGGGATCAGCAGCTGTGGGTGCCCCCTACCCGTAAATGCAAAATCATATATATTATATACACTATGTAATATCTATACACACAGTATGTA